AGATTTTATTAAATATATATTTTTCGTTGTCAAATATTACATTTCTATTACATTTATATTTAAATTTAAAACAATTATTCGCGTCATCTATTGATGTATAGTAGAACTAATTAGCGACTTTTTAGTTCCCGATATTTCCGCAAGGTAGATTAATGGTTGATAATATCGCAATATGTCGATAAATGCTGATAACATTATTTTGATGCTTTTTATAATTAATATAAGTAATATTTTTTATTATTTCTTATTATAATTTTATTTCATATCGCCATTAATATTACATTCATTGTTACTGCAGCATAAATTTCTGTAGACATTTTGAAGCATATAGTGAATGTTGAAATTTTAAAAATTCTATAAACATATACATACAATACGCGCGCGTATATATGCATATTTAAAAAAAAGTTTCTACTAAAAAGACTCAAAACTACTTAAAAATTTTCAATCTACCCTTGTAAAAGTTACTTTGACAATAGGAAATGCGTAACATTAAATAACGGCAATTTTGGATAAATTAAAAATTTATGCTTCGAAATATACTATAATGTATACAATTGTAAAAATAAAACGTTCTACGAAAGTTATACGAAATTAAAACAATATAAAATCAAGCAAATAATATTTATGCAAATATTAGATTTAACGTAAACTTATTTTTGTTACTTTTATCGTCTCATAAGAATGTAAATCTAATGAACTTAAAAATAGGTACGAAATAATAGTAAACAGTTTTATTATAGTCGTGCCAAAAAAAAATATAAAAATTTTTAATTTGTTTACTAGCTTTTTTTTTCTTACAGAATAAATTAACGATATGCATAAGAAATTTAGTCAATCGTAATGTGAATTATTGATCGGTGGATTGTATTGCGGATAAGGTGTGAATACCTCGAAGTAGGCCATGGTTCCTCGGATTATAAGGACACCAACGATCTTACGTAATAACGTAAAAGCGACAAATACCTGATCGGTAAAAATATTTCATGCTATGTCTATTCAAAAGATAGAAAAATAGAAGATAGTCTCCAAATTGGGAAAAAGTTACCTGGGTTAACGAAAGTTTTCCTATCGATCATAGGATCATCATTATTTATTTCAAAATCATGTTTGCAAAGATAAATATTATCAGTCGTTTAATCATTGTCTTACCAACAATTAAATTCCTAGAAAAAAGTAATTCTGTAAATGCAGAATTACAGATAGTTGAGTTGATTTAGATTCGTATAATTTGGTTCAGGAATTCCTAGGTTCAGAGAATTTCCTTCTAGATTCATTCTAATATCAAACAAAAACAACCAAGATTACGAAGACTACACTTTGCATAATAAAAACATTCTTTTTATTGATAATTCTTTTTCTTACGAATATTCTGATCGTTTAAACAATAAAACATAAACTCTTTTATCGATAAATCCTTAACGTAATATCTATGTGCATATATTTTATTTTATTGATGAAGTATAAATATAAAAAAAAGAAAGAACATTCGTTTTTAAGAATCGAAACGTTGGTAGAAATGTGTAATTTGGAAAAAAAAGTGCTTCTCGCGATAAGCACGTAATGTCACGTCTTCAGGGGGCATCTTTGCGAAACAATTTGATTTTGCCGATGCTCATGGCGTTCGCGATTACTTTGTATAAATGACGATACATGGTTTTCTTACGTAATCGGATAACCAACTACTGTCCTTCTGCGATAATATATTTTCCATGCAGGTAAGGTAACTTTTCATTGCCTTCGGACGCATATTTTTGTTATTGTGGAGGCACCAAAATGGCGGCCAGCCGTACCAAGAAGAGTCCGTAGAATTTAATAAAATATTCTTCTTATGGATATATTTTATTTCGTTATCTTATTAAAAGTGCGTGGAAAATAATTGTAAGATATTATTTTGCACGATTATTTGTTTTCAACATTTTTCTGGCAATATTTAAACGCAGATATATATCTGCGTAATTATTTATTTATTAGTAAAAATTATTTCACTAATTTGTAGGACTTATAAATTATTATTGCATCAGTAATTATATAGTGTCGTCTTATTAATATTGTTTATTTTTTCCAACATTCATTTTAAATTAGTTTAATTAATCAAACTATGCTTGAAATGAAACCATCTCTTGGTTTCGTAAATATTCCCGGCTTAATAAAAATGCTCCCGAATTAAGAATGTTTTATGAATCAATGATACGTTAATAATCCTAATCAAATTGGATTAAAAAATTTGAAAAATAAGCCTTTATAAAATGGTTATCACCGGCGCCTATGCTACGTAATAACACATTGATACAAATGAAACAAATAAAGAAAAACCAAGAAGAAAATACATTAAGATAATACGTTCAAACATTTGGCAACGAACGAAGACAACTTGATTGATTTTTGACGTATTTTACATTCCTGTGTACACAATTCTTTTATAAACTCTGCGATCGTTCTTAACGACGATTCATTGGCACAATCAATGAGAAGGAAAAAAAACACTTTTCATATTTTTTAATTACAGAAGGGGTAGCAAATATTGTCATATAGATAAAATTAATATAATTTAATATTTTTTTCAACCGAATAAGTTTTTATTTGATTGAATAAAAAAGATGTAATGTTTCTTATCACGAGTTGTTTTCAATCAGATACTATTTCCTAGGAATTTACAAATTTTGTGCGTACTTTATTTTATATTGAATGGCAGTAATGAAAGAATTATATGCACGTTTTCTTATCGTCGGGTTAAGGATGAAAAATGACGAGTAGAAGAAGGAAAGGGAAGCGGAGAAGGGGAAGGTGGCATTCCCCCGTCTTAGCAATTTTGCCATCATTTTTGTTCACGTTGAATCGTTCAACACATGGAATTATAATCGTTCGAAAACAGTGATACATCAACATGACGACAAAATAACGTGACTCACGGTCATAATAATTCTTTCTTTGTTAAACTTCATTGCAAAGCATTGACGTTACAAACTTCAAAGTAAAATTTATAATGAAATTAATTTATGTATCCCTATAGGACCTGATGGCTGATAATTAAACAAGTGTTTCCTATATAACAATAATCATGAGATAAACTTTCATCGGCAACACATCGATTCATTTTTGTCATCGTTTACAAAACCTCGAACGAAGGTTATATCTTTCGTGGTTTCGTTTGCTCTCATCTCGAAAATATCTGTTTTTTATTCATATCTACATATACTTTGATCAAATCAAGTGTGTATAACCATACGGAATTACGTATGGTAATTATGTACCAAGGACGTTTAAATATCGCCTAATTTTTATTATTTTTTGGTTCCATTATTTTTTGACGTGCGCCAGATGGGAAAAAAATGTAGCAATTTGATTATATTAATTAATCTCTTATCAAATACGCCAGTAATTATGACAGTATTGTAAGTCAAAAAATTGGAAAAATCAATTTTATGATATACATACTTTTTTCTATATTATAAAATAAATCATTAAATAAATTTATATAATTTTTTGACTCAGACCAAATATCATAATTATCGGCACATTAATAATCATACGGTATTCTTTTAAGTATTATCTTTGTTTTAATTTTTCATATTTTATGACGAACGAAGATGTCAAATTTCGTGAAGTTTTGAGTGAATTTTAGGAGTCATTGGTACGTTCGATAATCTATCGTGTCAAATATTCAATACGTTCACGAATTACCTCGATTTCTCTAGTTGTGGGTGCGGATCATCGTGACAAGACTTTAGGATTGTTGTCAAGGTTAATATAGGAACGAAACTTTCGCATTAATATTTTATCTAAAACTTATTTTTAAATTAGTTTAAATTTTTCTATCTCTAGATTTTTATTTATATATCTGAAAGAAAATCTAATAAAAATATTATAGAAAAGTTTGAGTACGTATGGTAGGATCAATTTTGCCATTTTTCTGTCTGTTCAATCAGAAATATTTTACGAAATACTTAAGCGTGTTTATGATACCACGCATTACTTTAATTGCAATGCAACATTTAAGTTTAGTATCGATTTTTGTAATGACAATAATCAAGAAAACATTACTTTTTAATAAGAAACAAATATGCTCATACGTGATCGCATAAATTTAAAATAAGTTTAATAGTTGTTTAAATAAATTTGTCCAAAAAGGAATAAGTATCCGATAATTTACAGCAAATAGCAAGTATTCCTATGTGTGCGTTTATGTGTTGTTAAAAATAAGCTTAAATATATATAAAATAATATAAAATAATATAAAATAAATTATAAGACGTATAAAATCCATATAAGAAAAAAGCAAATATCCGATAATTTACGTAAAATACTGAATGTTCGCACGCGTGTACATATTTAAATAAAAATATTCTTAAGTATCTAAAATAATATAAAACACAAATTAAGACATGTAGATTCATACAGGAAAGAATATAAGTATCCCATAATTTACAGAAAATGTTAAATATTCTTACTTGTGTGTATGTATGTGTGTATATATATGGGTGCGATGAAGTATACGACATAGTGAACAATTGGTGGAAAAGGATAAGTATGGTGTTACCGTATATACTTGGTAAAATATTCTAGTAAAATTGAAATGTTCCTGAACGAAATACATGGCGAACAAACGAGCTTGTGCGCATTGTAGAAAAAGATAAATAGTAAGAAAAATGGATGGAAGGTAAGTAAGAAAGAAAATGAAGGTGTGTATATAAATGTATATGTGTGCATGTATATGTATATATAAGTTATGTAGCGTTTATGGTATATGCACGTATTGTTAGAAAGAGAGAGGGAGAGAAAGAGAGAGAGAGAGAGAAAAGTTAGAAGGAGAACGACAAACTCGAGTCGGCGAACCGAATCCGCTCACCGATTCCAAAGTCCGCTGGCAGGTTCAGTTGTCTTCGAACCCCCGAACTGTTCGGACGTAGCTCGGGTCGAGAGATTTGTTTGAATTAATATTTTTTATAATTCGTTTATTAAATTATTAAACGTTTTTTTTTATACACTCTCCGTCTGGTTCCGTATTTCTATCTATCTATCTCTTTCTCTTTCTATCTCGTTATCTTGTACTCTTTCTTGTCATCTATTGCGCGCACGCGTTCTCTAACTTCGTCAAGGGGGAAACAAAAAAAGCGCGCGAGAATCGAAATATTGAGGAATATTAATATCGATTTTGTTTGACGATTTTGAGAATAGTTGCGTGCGTGAAATTAGAGAATATCGTAATATTTCTCTCTTTTTACTCTCCTCTTTCTCTCTCTCTCTCGCTTTCTTTCTCTTTCTCTATCCCTCAAATTTTCTCTATCGAGATAGACAAAGTTATAGAAACGGTCAATATCTCGAGATTAGGAAAAACGAGGTTCGATACGTCACCGAAATCTAATTTACGATATTTAATTTATCGAATTTTATTACTTACGAAGACATTATTTTTACGATCATTGGAAGATTCTTTTGCGAGTACGGCTCACTCGATTTTCTTACGACGAGGAAGATCGACGAGAAAAAGAAGACGAAGGAACGGTGGACTTGGCTGATTCTTTCTCAAAGGAAAGATATTACAACTTTTAAAACGTAAGTAATGGTTTTGTTGACTTAACAATATTTCAACACTTATTTCGGCTTCATTTTTAACGTAGGATAGGTATGCCTTCTCTTTCCTCAATTGTGAAAGTAAATATCCAAATATTTTCAATATTTTATTTACAATCGGACGAATTCATTATCTTTCTTTTTTTTTTTTTTTTCTTTTTCTTTTTCTGTATTTACGTCACTTTTCTGCCTCTTATTCTATTTTTTTTTTGTTTCTTTTATTTCTTTTTTACATATCAAAGAAATGTTTCTTTGAGTTACGTTTGCTGTACGGTGCAAACGTAATGGCGTTGTTTTGACCATCAAAGGCTTATTTGGAACAGTGCCATTAAAAAATAATAGATTTCTCCGAGAGATATTTGTATCTCTTCTTCTCTCTCTCTCTCTCTCTCTCTCTCTCTTTTGCATTAATTTAGTCTTTGAAAATGACATCTATTCCCTCCTCTTACTCTCCCCCTCATAAGAAGAGAAAACACGGCAGAATTGTTGATTTGAATTCAAGAACATAAATCACAAATTTAGTTTCGCATTTGCATACGTGTGACTTGTTTTTCGTTACGCGAATGATAATTGCAATAAAAATAATAACTTTGAATTTAATCGATCTTTTTATAGTTTATCTGATTATTAATTTTAATTTACAATTAGTTGACAACTTAAAGCTTGTATTTTGTTTTTAATTGTAATCTCTTCTTAAAACTATACTTGTTAAATGTAACTTCTTATGATATTTTTATATATATATATATTTTTTTTTTTGTTATATTTTTAATTACATAATTATTACTTGAATTTTAATTACACAAACGAGATACTCGAGAGGAAATGACAGTTTTGATTAAAATTAATTTTGTTGCGTGCAACATTGCAATTTGATTAGTTTGAAAAATTTCTTTTATTTATTTTTTTATTATAAATAAATTACATTTTGAAGAATCCAATTGGTATAAAATTTATATTAATTTTAGAGACATAAATACGTAAACTTTTTAAACGTTAACATGAAAAATGGCATGCAATCGTAATGAAATTCATGGTATCTTTACTTGCATCCATTAATTATAATATTAAGTATAATTTTTAATTTAATAATTACGTATATTACAATTTTTATGCAATATTACACAAATTGACACGAATTTTAATGTTTAAATTCTTACGTAATAAGGAATAATAAGAAGAAAAAGCACGAAGTTAGAAATTTCGCATTCGACGATTACATTATTCTGTAATAACATTTTTCTTTTGTTAAGCTTTTATTTCCGACGATATATTTCTAATGATTATTATAAAATTTGTTTGATAGTTTGTATCGATAATTGAGATCATCATTAAACCAAGCAGAAAAATATTACAATTGGAAGATTTTCTTCATCTTTTAACGAAGAATGTAAAAAAAAAGGGCAAAAAATATATAATTGACGCGAATATAGTACGGTTTAGTTTTAACGGTTTAATGATTTAATGTCTTCTTGAAACGTTGAAATTTATTCCATCTCAGATTATATCATAGATAATAAAAATTTTCCGTAATAAGCTAGATCGAGTTATTCCGAACTTTGATCGTTAATTATGTTAACATTAGAATACATTACAATGAGGCTCAAGCATGGTCGCGTGATTTGGAACGAGATGAAAGTTCATCGGCTCTTTTCTGTGCGGGATATTTAACATAATACATAAGCATATATATATATATATACTTGTGTGCATATACATATGTCATATATACACGCACGTTTATTCTAGTGTGACACATTGCGAAGGAATTCAAATAGGCAACATTGTGTTGGGGTATCAATTGATGCAGGTGCAGGACAAGTTTCGTTTCGTAATTCTTGCGAAATCCTATCTCACAGATTTTTACCCCTACCTTATGAGGAAACAAAAAAGAAAAAAAATATAGTATCCATATCTATCACGGAAATGAATGCAATATACTGTTCGCGAATAATGGAAATAATATTTCAGTGGGTGTTTGGAAAAAAATTTATTTTTCTATAAAAAGAAGAAAATATTGCCTTTAAACGATGAATGCCAACATTAACAAATACACATGAATATCAATTATAAATTTAATCTCACAGTCATTGTGTTATGTTGGAGTATCAATTGATTTGATGCAGGTGTATGACAAGTTTCATTCCATAATTCTTGCGAAACCTTATCCCACAGATCTGTATCTCTACCTTAAGAGGAAAAAAAAAGGAAAAATTTAATATCCAAGTTTGAGAAAAAAAAAAAGGAATAATTTATTTTCTGGAAAAATAATCAGAAAATATTGTCGTTAAACGATGAATGGCAATATTAGGAATATGCATTAACATTAATTAGAAATTCTATCACAAAGTATGTTAAAATTTAATTAATTGGCTATGTTTTACAAGTTTTTATTGTGTAACGTAGGCCATTATTAGAACTGTACCATTAAAAAATAATTGATTGAGGTATATTTATGTTTCTCTTTATATAAATTTAGATTGTTCATTAATTACATCTGTCTTCTCTCCTTTCCTTTCCGAGGAAAAAAAACACTTTTTTTCCAGGCACCCATTTATTAAAAATTTCCCAAGTGGCATATGTTCTTCGATAATTTAATAGAAATACCGTTCCTCCGCTATCGTAATCAAAATGCGATTACGAAATTTGGATTTTATCTGACTTGTATCTAATTATTATCTATCATATCATTCCATTTATCGGGTCACGATCAAACGGACTTTTACAAAATCTTAAACATTTCGAATATTACCATATACATGTAATAACAAAAACAAAAAAAAAGGCGTTTATAATGGAATACGATAGCAATAAAAAAATATTTTCGTAATGTCGTTGTTGGATTAATTTATCGAGGCAGGAGGAAAAAAAAAATTTAGTTAGCTTGCGAACTAACAACAAGCGCACGTGACTTGGAATTGAGTTTCGTGTATCGAAACGTGAAAGGACGATATATGGGAATACGAGCTTAGTAAGATACCATCGTTTCGCATTTGAATTTCATAAAGTCTTGTCTCTACGCTGAAGTAACTACGAGGAATTTGCCGTTGTCTCTCTTGTCATTTTCAACATAAGCCAACTGATAGAAACATTTTGTTGATAACGTAGCCCTGAAATTGATACTCTGACCTAATCCGAGAAAAATATTTGCATTCTTTTACGTTTTAGTTTGGTTTTAAGAATACATTTGTATATATACATATTTGAAAAACATTTGTTCCAATTGCTACGTGTAATGTTTCACATTTCTTTTTTTTTGTTCTTGTTTTTGTTGTTGATCCCTATTGATACATTTAATGGCCACAAGCTACAAGCAACGACATTTGTCTCGCAGTTGGTTATAGAAATATCGATAAATATTTGATAACAAGCGCTTATGACGACCGTTTCAAAATATTCACGGAATATAAACTGATTGTGAAAGTTACTTCTTGTTCTTACTTCTCGGTGGGGAAACAAGAATTGACACGTTGACTGCCACGTCAAATTTGCATTATGTTCTTAGAGGACGATCAGAGAATAATATACCCTAATTCATTTTTATTAAACAATATCTAATATTTTAATTACAATTTTACATTGGTAAATATTGTGCATCTTTAGATCACAGTATTTTCTAATTTACTACGATGCACTCAAAACGTTTTAGATTACAAATTTACTCCAAAAAAAAAAAGGAATGCCACGAATATGTTCGAACACATTTCGATTTTAATCTTGTTTAATTTGACATTATGGTAGGTCGTTAAGATTGCTTTCAATATTACGCATACACAATTACACGTATGTATATTCTCGATAAGAAGAAGAAAAAGGAAGAAAAAGAAAAAAAAAAAAAAAAAAAGAAATATCGTCTTGGGACGATAAATTCAAAACTTTATAAATATACATCAAGATTGATTATTAGGTTTACTTCGAAGTATGATTTAGATCATTAAAAAAAAAAAAAATAAAAAAAAAAAACAAGGAAGGAAAAGAAAAAAGATTACGAAAGATAGGTTTATTTTTTTTATTTAAATTAATTGCGTGTAACAAAATCTTACATTTTTGTAATGAACTTTTGAATCTCTGACCAAAGCGAGTATACGTAGAAATTACACACACACACACGTAGCATAATAATAAATATAGGCGCACCTTTTCACCTGGCGATTCCTTGTAAAACGATCGAAACGTTCACAGGCTAATCCCTGACGACGACTTTCTAAACCGCAACGAATACAACGCGCACGCTCTAGCCACGTGGCTTCGATAATTCGTTTCACTGAAAGACTGGTAAACAAGTTTTAAATCGGATGAATAACTTTCCGTCTCGCCGTAAAATATTTCGGCTATTATTTTATCTATTTAAATATGTTGTTATTATTATTTAGTTTTGTTATTTTTATTGTTGTTGTTGTTGTTGTTGTTGCAATTTTATATAATCAAATTGGGGTCCAATGATCGCATCTATTTTTCATTTTATCTTGCGCAAACAATATGGCAGATGTTTCACGTTCGAAAAATACACGCGTGAATAATTTTGCTTGAAATAAAACATTATTATTTTTATGAAATAAACATTTGTTAATAATTTTATTACCGAATGTTTATTTTTAACAAACTGTTAATTTTGCGGTCCCTAGGCTAATGTTGTTTGAGGGTTTACCCAATAAAATCAAGTTTGAATTTGTTCTATCAACTCATTCGCCATTTTGTTGAGAAATTGTTTTTATTTTTTTTTTTTTTACCATGAAAGGGGGCCTTTTTGATTAAAACGGGGTCTTGAGTTTGCGGTCCATAAAGACCGTGTCTAAATTCGTCCCTGAAGTGTTGATTCGTTTTTGTTGTAATCTCAATAAAATAAAATAAAATAATAATAATGTAATAATAAGTAACAGGAACATTATCTTACATACACGTATATAAATAAATATTGTAATCGAAACTTTCTTTATGCAAAAAGGTTTCCTTATCTTAGCATTAAACGAACGGAACGAGGT